TCCAGCTTGACAAATCTGCCCAGGACGTTCTTAGTTCAGTGGTGGGGTGGCGGGTTGAGGTGCATGTTTATTTCACTGCTATGGGTTTCAAATCAATTGGGACACAGGGCGACTGGAACACGACATCTCCCTCTCCCTGTGATGGATGTGGAAGAGGGCTTTTTTATTCTATTATATCTATCTCCATAAAAGGAGGAACAGTTTTATTGTGGCTGTCAGCCAGGAAAATTAGACATATTGCTAATAGGAAGACCCATGGCAGCACCTCGTGGTTGATATACATGGTGACAAAATTATATTAGCTGCAGCCCCAATAAACTGAGAAACATTTTCTTGTATAAGTAGTTCAAGAAACTGCAGATCAAAGTACAATTACTTTGTTGTTGCTGTGTCTGACTTAGCTTTCTGGACCATACATTAGAAAATTCCTTACATTTCCATTTCCCGTGTGTGTGTGTGTGTGTGTGAATACCATGCCCTTAACATTACTTGCTGGAAATGTTTGATGATTTGGGCATATCAATGTTTGATCCTGTTGTTAGATTATGAATTCCAAATGCAAGTTTCCATGTGGTAATTAAACACAATTCTAATCTTCCGTTTTTACAAATGGTTAAAGCTCATCCGAACAATTTATACCACGGAACCCTAATTATATATGACCAACTGATTGTATTCACATTACATGTCCACCACCTAGGGCAGTGGTTGGCAAACTGCGGCTCGCGAGCCACTTGCAGCTCTTTGGCCCCTTGAGTGTGGCTCTTCCACAAAATACCATGTGCAGGCGCGCATGTACAGTGCGATTGAGACTTCATGGCCCATGTGCAGAAGTTGGTATTTTGCGGTTGAGACTTTGTGGCCCATGCGCAGAAGTCGGTATTTTGTGGAAGAGCCACACTCAAGGGGCCAAAGAGCCGCATGTGGCTCGCGAGCCGCAGTTTGCCGACCACTGACCTAGGGGATTAATGATATGAGAAAAATACTGTGATGTCTCAAATTAAATTACAGCGGGGGAGAGTGAGAGGTAAGAGTGACATAAGCAGTTAGTAGCTGTGGGCCAACTAACAGTAGTCTGCTCACATTCCTGAATGGCTGTTGGAGCTTTGCATCAACTTCTATAGGGAACAAAGATGCCACCGCATTCTGTACGTGCACGAACTTTCAGGACTGCTGCCCGTACGTGATCAAAATTAGTAAATAGTTCATCTGTACTGTGCACCCAGCCTTAGCCTAGAACTGTCTCGGCTTCACCGTGTCCTGGTCCCGCTCTGTAACCAATGTAAATTCTTTCAAAACAACTTACATCTTTCTTCCCCAAAACATGGGTGCAGAAGGTCGGGCCTACTCCCCCACAACCCTGCTCCTGGTGGGTCGGACCGCACTCCCCAGGACCTGGTTCTTTTTCTGGCAGCATTTGGCTCAATAACCCCTTTCTTTCAGAAAAGCTTTGGTAGATTGTCCCCTCTATCATAAAACGTCTATCTTTGGGTCTTGTTACTTTCTTTATTTTGTGACCTATTTTGTCAGATGAAAGTATGGCTACACCACTTTTCTCTGGTGTCGTCTGCTTGGAGAATCATTTCCCACCCTTTCACTTTGAGTCTTATTTGTCCTTGCAGCTGAGATGTGTCTCTGTAAGGTGGCACATGGTTGGGTTTTGTTTTTGATTCAATCCACTACTCTGTGCCTTTTTAATGCAATCCACATAAAAATCCCAATGTCATTTTTTAAAGAAATAGAACAAGAAGTCATTAGATTTGTATGAAACCACAAAAGACCCCGAATAGCCAAAGCAATCTGGAGAACAAGGAACAAAGCTGGATATGTCACACCCCCTGACTTCAAATTATAAAACAAAGCAGCAATAATCAAAACAGCACGGTATTGGCAGAAAAACACACACACAGACTAACGGAGCAGAGTTGAGGACCCAGGAATAAACCCCCATAAATATAGGCAAATAATTTCTGATAAAAGAGTCAAAAATTTCTAATAGAGAGAAGAAAGCCTCTTTAATAAATGATGCTGGGAAAATTGGAAAGCTACGTGCAAAAGAATAAAACTAGGTTGCCATTTGTCACTATCTGCAAAAATGAACTCAAGATGGGTCAAAGACCAAAATATAAGACCTGAAACAATAAGTTACATAGAAGAAAACATAAGTACTAAACTTACGGACCTTGGTCTTAGTGAAAATTTTATGAATTTGATCCAAATGCAAGAGAATTAAAGGCAAAAATAAATGAAAGGGACTACATTAAATTAAAAAGCAAGAGGAACCATAATCAAGACAAAAAGGCAAACAACACCTCTGGTAAGCGGTTAACATCCAAAATATATAAAGAACTCAAATAATTCAACAACAACAAAAATAAACAATCCAATTAAAAAATGGGCAGAGGACCTGAACAGACACTTCTCCCAAGGACATACAGGGGGCCACAGGTGTATGAAAACATGCTCAACTTCATAGCTATTAGGGAAACATAAGTCAAAACCACAATGAGATACCACCTCACACCTGTTAGAATGGTTATTGTCAACAAGACAAATAATAACAGGTGTTGGAGAGGTTGTGGAGGAAAAGGAACCCTCATTCACTGCTGGTGGGAATGTAGATGGTACATCCACTATGACAAACAATGTGGAAGTTCCCTAAAGGATTAAGAATAGAGTTACCATATGACTCAGCAACCCCTCTTCTGGGTATCTACCTGGAAGATTTGAAAACATTCATTCATAAATATATATTTACTCCTATATTCATTGCAGCATTATTCATGGTGGCCAAAACATGAAAACAACCAAAGTAGCCTTTGATAGATGATTGTATAAAGAAGATGTGATACATATATACAGTGGAACACAACTCAGCCCTAAGAAGATAAAATACTGTCATTTGCAACAACATGGATGAATCTTGAGGATATCATGCTAAGCAAAATCAGACAGAAAGAAGTCAATAACCATATGATTTCACTCATGTCTGGGATATAAAACTGAAAGCAACAAACAAACAAAAACTCACAGATACAGACAACAGTATGGTGGTTACCAGAGGGGAAGGGCATTGGGGGGAGGTAGAACCGGGTAAAGAAAGTCAAATATATGGTGACTCGACTTTGGGTGGTGAACACACAATGCACTATACAGATGATCTATTACAGAAATGTACACTTGAAACCTCAAAGATTTCACTAACCAATGTCACGCCAATAAATTCAATAAAATGTTTTAAAAAAGAAAATCTTTGGGCTGTGAAATTTTTTTGTTTAACAAAGATGACCTCCCTTGCTGCTTAGGGCTGTGGAGAAGATGGGGAGGTTGTGAGGGCCAGGAGGAGAGCATGCTTGGAGCCGAGTGCAGCTATAGCAGCTGAGAGAAGAGGAGAAAAAGACATGTCCTCCTGGGCCACCCTGTTGTTGTCTTTAAAACTCTCATCTGAGACGGAAGGAGAGAGAGAGAGAGAGAGAGAGAGAGAGAGAGAGAGAGAGAGAGAGAGAGAGAGAGAGGGAGAGAGAGGGAGAGAGAAGGGAGGGAGAGAGAGGCAGGGAGAGGGAGAGAGAAACACTGATGTGAGAAACATCAATTGGTTATCTTTCCTATGTGCCATCCAGGGATCAAACCCACAACCCAGGTATGTGCCCTGACTGAGAATTGAACCTGCAACAACCTTTCCATGCACAGGACGGTGCTTAACCAATGAAGTCACTCTGGCAGGGTGTCCTGGACCAACGTAGCCTTTCATACATCCAATGATCTTGGAACATGTTCAGTAAATGAAACTAACAAAGAATGCGTACTTGGCTTTCTATCCCCAAATTCTGGGGTCCTTGGAGGACAGGTGTGAGGACTATCACTTCTATGATAAGGACTCTGGGACTTGGGGACATTTCGCACCCTTTAATTTTCTGACTCCGGTGGGGTTAGTGGTTTAGTGTCTGTCCCTGGGCCGGATTGTAGGCAATCTGGCCTGAGGGCGGATCTCTCATTATCACAGGCGGCTGCAGCCCCTTTTAATGTGGTGCCTCACACAGAGATGGACCGGTGCCTGGTGCACAGCTGAGGTTGCAAACAGGCGTCAAGCCAAACTCTTGAAACCATCTCTTCTGCTTTCCAGGCTTGTCCTTGACACATATTTTCTTCCCTAAGCGCCTCAGTAATTTTCATAACTTCTTATTTGTCACTTTCGGCATCTCAAGAGCATTCAGGATGTTATCTTTATTCATCTCCTTCTCTCATTTCTCCTCCTTTTAAATTGCTGCTGGGAAAGGAAGTAGTACTTGGGTTTTAGTGCAGGATGGAGTGACGATGACAGGATATTTTTCCTGTATAAGGACTTTATACTGGTATAAAGAACATAGATTTCATTTTGTTTTTAATCCTCACCTGAGGATATTTTTTTCATTGGCTTTTAGAGAGAGTGGAAGGGAAGGGGGGAGAGACACAGAGCGAGAAACATAGATGTGAGAGAGACATATCGACTGGTTGCCTCCCGCATGCCCCCCGACCAGGGCCAGGGGTTGGGCCTGCAACCGAGGTACATGCCCTTGACCAGATTCAAACCCAGGACCCTTCAGTCCACGGGCGGACGCTTTATCCACTGAGCCAAACCGACTCGGGCAAGAATACAGCATTTCAGTGGAGAGAGCTTCCGGGAGTGAATCACTATTATTCTTTGTCTGTTTTATCAAAACAAAAACGCTTCTCTCCAGTAGCATACAACCGCCAACAGTCGAGAGTACAAAAGGCTCGCTGATGCCGTTCGCCTTCCTTTCGGACATCCTGGCTGCAGCCCCCTGCGCGGTGGTTCTGGCTGTTCCAAAGTCCCCCCAGGCCCCGGGGGCCACTCAAGTTCAGCTGCACGTCCCTTTGAGAGGACGCTTACCTGACAGGTCGTGGCAGGAATGGCCACTGCATCCCAGATGCACATCCCCTCCCCTGTGGGACTGCCCTTTCCCGCTGGCCCTCACCGTAGCCATGGAGTCCACACTTACATGTCGTCGAAGACGAGTTTCTGCCTCTTGCAGTCCCGGTGGCTGCTGGAGCCCGGGGACCACGGCTCCGTCTGTGGCCGTGGCTTGTGGAGAACGCTTTCCGAGCTGTGGTGAGCTGCTTTCTAAACAACAAACAACACGCCGGTTCTGAGAAACTGGCCACGTGGCAGAGAGAGCAACCCATCGCACAGAGTATCTTGTGTCCCGGACTCTTTGTTTAAATAAAGAAAAAGAAACATGTGCATCCCACTTCTCAAAAGGGGCTTTCAGATACAGGGTGGGGCAAAAGTAGGTCTACAGTTGTTCATATGAAAAAAAGCCATGCAGGTAATGATGTGATAATACAAGAATAAACCCCGTGTTTCGCACACCCACAACTGTAAACCCACTTTGCCCGCCCTGTATGCTGTGCAGTGTCATCTCACAACAGTATCATCGGAGAAGGCGTGGCGTGGCCTCTCACAGACCTGGGCCCTGCGGTTCAGTGAGGTCAAGTGACAGCCCGACCCCCAGTGCTGTGACCGAGGCCCAGGGCTAGCACTCGCCCTGCTCTCCTCCATTGGTGAGACCTGTGGTTCTCCAAGTTGACTCTGCATGAGCTCATTCTGTGCACAGCAGCACACAGACAGCGGCGCCCCCTCCGGAGCCTCCAGGTCTGTGGTCAGGGGCGGAGCCTGAGAGCGGGCATCTCTAACAAGCCCCAGGTGCCACTGACCACTGAGCTGTAACCCACAATCCCTCGCAAAAGAGGTGTTCAGATTACAAACAGACTGCTTCTTATTCGCTGTCTGTAAGATTAGAAAAAGCCATAGGGAATTACTAGAAATTATTTAATATGTTTTTAAAAGGAACACTATTGATTTGTGGTAAAATTAAAAAAAATTATAACTCTTGGGGACACAAATATTTATAGAGCACCCATTGTGTGCATACACTTGGATCAGAAGGCAATTGCCTTTGGTTATGAAATTCAAATCAATTCCTCTGAAGTAATTAAAATAGAAGGTAGCCCGGCCAGTGTGGCCCAGTGGTTGAGCATCGACTTATGAACCAGGACATCCCGGTTTGATTCCTGGTCAGGGCACAGGCCTGGGTTGTGGGCTCGATTTCCAGTACAGGGCGTGCAGGAGGCAGCCAATCAACGATTCTTTTATTGATGTTTCTCTCTCCCTTCCTCTCTGAAATCAATAAAAAAAATATTTAAAAATAGTAGAATGAAAAAGAAAAAAGATAGAGTGCATGCCAATGCTCCTTTCAGTGTGGACTGATTTTATGTGGGGATCAGCCTCCTCGCTGTAGAGCCCCCGTGCATTTCCTGCTTGTAGGCGCGGTGGGAACCGCGGGTGCGTGGCCCTTGTCTAGGTCGCTCTCCCCAGCTGGACGGGAGGTTTCACGCAGGCTCAGATTGAATCTGCTAGACTGTCCCTGCCCCTCTGCTGCTGGGCACAGTGCCCAGCACTCAGTAAGCACTTGGTCAATAACCATTTACTCAGGGAAAGAACGACTAAATAAAGTCTCTATTTTTTTTTTCAAATTTCTGCACACCATACAATATTCCGCTTGTGATATAAGGACCTAGAGGCAAAGAGAAGTTTTGTTTGTTTTTAAATTTGAATTGGTAGTTTTTATTTCAGGTTTTCCTAATATGGTTTTCTCAGATTCTTATAGTTTAGAATTAAATATAATTGTTCCCAAATGAGGGCGCTTTAGAGGGTTAATTTCCTGATACAATGAGATTTAGGCTCTTGTAAGACCTTCTACTAACCCTTTGATCTCATTATGGGATAAAGCATTGAGTACTGCCTCCCCATCTCTTTGTCAGAGTCATATTCTCATATCTCACCTCCCCCAGCCTCACAAAGCCCCACTGGTTTTGACAGGCACAGTGACGGAGAGAATGCAGTGGGAGATGTGGAATGAAATAATATAGCCCAGCAGATGCGTAATCCAACGCCCAGCTGCAGGGCAGTACAGAGGAACAAGCTTGTAGTGTTAGTTGTACAGGTGTCCACAGGTGTTGGGTTCTTTAGATAACATCATCTCATTTAAATCTTATGATGCTGTTTTGCAAATGAAACAGGCTCAGAGAGATGAAGCAAGTGACCCAAGGCCCACGTGTCCACTAATTATGAAGCTAGATGGATGGTGCACCCCAATCCCCTGCCCTCCCCAGGGGAGTGTAGGGCACTGGAATCACCCCAGGAGGTCGCCTAAAGAGGGGTGGTGGGGGTCCCACACTGTGGCTGCTACACTGATCACCCAGGTTGGAGGGGAAACCCCAACATTTTGGCCTGGGGTTTCCATTCCAGGCTTAGCTCTGTCCTGGGACAAGGAATCTTTTCAAATGAAAGGGTGGGTTGGTCCCAAACTCCCGATTTCCTTTGTCTCGTGATAGTATTACTCTGGGCTGTTCTTTTCGGAATGGGGAACGAAACCCCACAGGCTTGCTGAGCAGAGGGCTCCTCAGTTTCTCCTCCTGCAGTTGTCCCTGCGCCAAATCTTCCCAGAATAGCCTTAGAGATCCTTTCTGGAACCTCAAGTGTGTGTCCAGACCGTGCTGGGCTAAGACAGGTGGCGTGTCGGGGTGTGCTCAGCTCCATTTCACATTCAATGGGGACAGGAAGAGCAGCAACGTACCGTGAGGTCTGCGGCATGAGCCGGCAGCTGGCTCTCCATCTTGAGCTTTTTGTTGGAGGCGGTGGAAGGGAACAAGCCACTGCCGCTGGACCTGCTGGAAGACGTCAAGTCCTCGCTGGAGTATTTGTGTTTAGAGGCGTCGGAGAGGGGCGAGAGGGGCGACCGGAGCAGCTTTTCATTTTTATTGATGGGTATTGCCAAGCTGCAAAAGAAAATCACAGTAATGGAATGTCACAAGCCAGCACAGGGAGAAGTAAATGTCTTATATATGACCCAAGCCTCCTATTTAAAGCCTGCTGGCAGCAAGACGTTTATGGGGAATTATTATACCCGGAAACAATTTTATGGCATTAGGACCATAACAAACAATAAGCAAATTTCACTCATTGTTTCTTTACTTGTCCTACAGGATGAAGAGTAACTCTGGAGTTAAATAACTAAGAATAGTAAGGCTTTCATTTTCTAAGTTTTTCACCCATGGATCTCAAAATGCACAACCAACTTCTTCCTGTTTTCCTACTAAGTGTCAGCAGCAAGCAATGAGGAGTCAATCAAATGACATACATGTTCCTACTTCTAAAAGGACTTTTGCTAACAGCTGAGCTTATACTAATTATTTTATGGAGAATAACAGAATTACAGAATGACTTGCAAAGCAAGAAGCAACTTTCAATTGTTAGGTTTCCCAGCTAACCAGGCATTGATCAGAATGAACACAGAACAAAAAACTCATCAGAAGTGACATTTTTGAATTCTAGCTCCTGATTTTACCTTCAAAACTACAGTCTGGAACTCCCTCCCCACTCCCCCGCTCCCCCATACACACACAGACACACATAATTAACCATCAGAGAAGTTAGTCATTATCCTTTAGTTATTGTTAGGACTCTCTCCATTACTTAATTTGAAAAAAATTGGGAAAAGACACATGAGCTTGAAAGAAACCCAACCACTGCTAATTTGGGATACTTGTAGAAGTCCCCTGATAGAGTCAGTTAAAAAAAGAAAAGGTAAATTCATTTAACAAAATGTAGTCATTATTCCCACAGTTACGATTGTATGTGTTGGCTATCCCTGCAAACAAGTCATTAAAGTCACTTCAAAAGAAATTTCCTTAGTTGGTGGTGACCATGTAGAAATAGCAAACACAGGCCTCAGATGACAAAGCCAAGACTCTCGAGACTATGCAAATAGACATCTTTAGGGATAGAATCTGTGGTGATCGATTTCTGGTTCAAAAAGCACTGGACGACTAACAGCTTAGCAGTGGGAAGGCACGTCTGAAAAATTGCCGTGGGCCAATCACAGTCACTGGGCTAGTGATGATGGAGGTGCTGACGGTGAAGATGGATGTGAACAGTCTGAATAGAACTGTTTCTTGACATGTGAGTGAAAAAAGTCCCATATCTAACTCTATCATTGCACATATATGTGATTTTAAATGTTCATGGAAAATTGGATTATTACATTGTACTATCATGGACATATGATTATTTCTTCTTTATCATTTTAAGTTTATATAGTCAAGTTGACCGAAGAAACTTTCTTTGGATCTCCTTTTTGGGATGGGTGACCACTTTACATATGGGGTTGTCTTATCACACGGGTATAACTGAGCAGTCAGCACCAACCTGGGGGTACCCAGACCGCCTTTCCTAGAAAGTACTCAAGGCACATTGCTATACACTGTGTCATCACTTAACATGAAACCACCAGACAGGGCATGTGGAGAAGCATAGGACTTGGTTGGAAAGTTTGTAAGGAGGATTCTCCAAAAGGTTGGGGGCCTCTGGGGGGACCCTGCTGAAGGCAGCAGCCCCTACCGTGACTTTTCCAAACAAGTCCGGTCCTCAGGGTGTTTTGCTAGAATCTCTATGTTTGGTCTTTAGACATGACCTTGTAGAAGCATATACTTTCTTTAAGGATGCTTACCCTGCTGATTGTATCTAGAGGTTAATTTTAGTTCAAGCTGTTGCTACAATAAAAACCCAAGGAGGCAGGCAATCGAGGCTTTTTTGATGCCTTATGCCAACTAGCCCCTTAGCTTCTCTTTCACAGAAATGTGTGTCAGAGTAATCATTCATCCGTCATTCAGGGTCTGCCGGTCAGCCCCGGCAGGGGCAGGCTCTACCAGGCAAAGGCTCTACTGCAAGAGCTTATGAGTCCTGGGCTCCATGTAGGATGGAAATGACACCCTCACTCTCAATAACCTCTCACTGAAATTGAGCATAATGAATACTGTTTATAATCATCACTACAATCATGGTAGTTACACATGTGCTAGAAAGGTTACTTATCCTGGTCAGGGTGGCTTAGTGGTTGAGTGTCAGTCAACCATGAACCAGGAGGTCGCGGTGACGTCCGAATTCCTTCCGGACAAAGCCATGGGGGTGGGGACCGAGGCAGAGGCAGTTGGGGGTGAGATCAGGTTGGTAGGGGAGGGCAGTTGGGGGCAAGACAGGCAGGCAGGTGAGTGGTTAGGAGCCAGAGGTCCTGGATTGCTAGAGGGATGTCTGCACAGGGATTGGGCCTAAACTAGCAGTCGGACATCCCCCGAGGGGGTCCCAGATTGGAGAGGGTGCAGGTTGAACTGAGGGACACCCCTCTGTGCACGAATGTCATGCACTGTGCCTCTAGTATAACTATATGCACATTTGAAAGACGATTTGGAACCACATTGTCCCCATTAACTTTTTCCCAGTTATTTTGGGATACTGTCCACTCGGCACAGAATTTGTGGACAACGCCAGCTTGTGTGCAACTCTCCCCACTGCTCAGACCTTCACAAGCCCTGGCCCCTCCCAAGGTGGCTCTAATACGGCAGCGGCCTGCTCACGCGTCTCGTTCTTGGCATGTTAGTGCCGCTCTCCATCTCCTCCTAACCTTTCTGCTTACAGTTTTATGTGTTGTGCTGCAGCATTCATCTCCCCTTACAAATGCTATGTTCGCAGCCAGGGAGAGTGAGGAGAGTCTTCGCAGAGGAAAAGTGGGTTCCGAGCTGTGCTATTTCGAAATGGCAAGAGCGTCTATGACTGATGACAAGCTACTTGCTCGTGATGAATACCTGGGAGCTTGCCTTGCGAGAAAGACATTTGTCACAGAGGGGACTCAGTGCAACGTGGGTCCATCTGGAACGCCGGTGGAGGCATCACTAGGCGGCCGTGTAACCTTGGAGATAGATTCTGTCCAACACCATGATTTTAGTCTACATCTAAGAGCATTAGGTGCGTCGTATGGAGATTCAGCTCAAAATTTATATTTCTCCATTCGTGTAATAAGCATAGTGTCCTAAGCTTAGCTATTAAAATCATGATTTAAGGATCCAGTTATTAAGCTTTTAGAGGGAAGCATGCAGAACTGTGGAAGTAGTAACTGGTCTTTTGTTAGAGAAGCACTTACACACCCCGAGCGGTGACCTGAGGTGCACATCTCAGTGTAATGAGGAGCCTTAGGCTAACCCGAGGAGAGCAGGCCCGGACACCCAGACCAGAGCAGTCATTGAAAAACTGGACTTTCCCAGGTGGCACATGACTTCAGCCCTAAAGACCCCACCAGCTCACCTCCACCCCTGAGGAAACACACACCTGCTGACGTTCATGTTGCAAGGATTCGCAGACACAGTGTTACTGGCAGAGGCGGCCTGCCGGGAAGAGCTCTCTTTCTCTCCCTGGACCTTCTTGACCTCCCGGTAGTCATCTTCGTTGTCACACTGTGTGCAAATAAGCAGAAACCAATCAGCTGCAGCTTTTAAAGGATCGTAATGAGCTCCCATCACCATCTTGCTCAGAGCAAGGCCTTGGAGACCAGCTCACTCGCCTCACTGGAAGGCATCTGAGCAGCAATGTGGTACAAGCGCCCTGGCCCTGGCCCTGGCCCTGGCCTGGGTTCCCAGTCAGCACCTCATCAAATAAGGATGAAACGCATCAGTTTTACTATTAGCAGTTCAGTGAGAGGGAAAGCCCAGCATCCCAATAAAAATGCAGGACAAAACACTGTGAATGACGAAAACGGCTCTGCCCTCAACAGACCTGACTTAGCCTCCAGAGACCTGCCTGCCCTGTATGCAGCCTCTCCTGGAATTTCTCAGCATCCAAACAGGGCACAGCAACCCGTTCTCAGTGCCAGGAGGGCAGTGACAAGCTCGACCCTTTCTTCTGAAATTCACAGCTTTTAAGAATTTCAAGCAAAGGTGTTACCTCTTGGTGCCTTACTCCCAGTTCACAATGGCTCTCCCAGGATATCGGAGAACCTTTGAAGCACCTTTTTGTGAAATAGTCCTTGGATTCAAGTATGTTTCCTTGGTTGTGTGTAACATTAGATGTGTATTAGGGTGCCATGCAAATGCGCTCCAGCTCGGGTGCGGCAGCGGGAACACAGGGATGGCCAGTGCAGGGCCCTCGGCAGTGCTGTCCAGAAGACATTTTCTCTCTCGCTGGGATTGCCACAGCCTCTCTCATAAGGACCCCAAGGGCTCCACTGAAACAGAGGAGGATCCCCAGTCCTTGGCTCTGGGCTCCAGCAGAGCTAGACTCTGCACCTTTGGCAGCCTGGTCTACAGGGTCCCATTTCCTGCACCCAGTATTAGGGTCTTAACACCCAGACGCTGAGTAAAGAGCATTAACAAATGATCTTTCACTTCTTTGTGTCTGTGTTTAATAACCAGTCATTAGATTTTATGAGCTTGGTGTCAGGCTTGGCATAAATGAAGTTTCATAAGTTAAAATTTAAAAGGGTCATAAATAATAAAATTATTTAAATACAGAACATTATGGAATTTGTATGTACCTATACATATTTATATATGTCTTTTTGCACATCTCCTTCTCTGTATCTATATATGCCTATACATGTATCTGTATTTCCAATCTATGTTTATCAATTTCTTTCTCTGTATATTTCTTATATATCAGTGGTTCTCAACCTTGGCTGCACATTAGAATCACCTGGGAATCTTTTTAAAATCCTGATTTCTGGGCCTCATCCTCTGGAAATTCTGTTTCTTTGTCACTAATGTTGTGGCCTCACCCCATAACAAAGAAACAGAATTTCTGGAGGATGAGGCCCAGAAATCAGGATTTTAAAAAGATTCCCAGGCAATTCTAATGTGCAGCCAAGGTTGAGAACGATTGTTATATATCTTTGTGTCTCTCTTGCCCAAGCTCCCTCTCTTTTCATTATTCTATCCATGTATCTATCAATCCCCAGGTGGTTAATTGATGGGTCAGTCAATTGATCACCTGAGGCCTGATAGATCAATCCAAAAGTAGTGAGGAGCGCAGGATATCTAGAGGAAAACAGGAAGAAAGAGGGTGAGGGAAAAAGTGGGTTAACCCATATTACTGAATTATATTGTTTGAACTTGACAGTGCCCTTGCAAAGGTGTCACCATTTTACAAATGAAGAAAGTGAAATAAAGAGAAGGCAAGGCCACCAGATTAAGGTCACCCAGGAGGCAGTGAGGACTACGTAATTTGCTGGTTCAGCACAAAATGAAAATGTGGGGCTCCTTGTTAAAAAAGCAAGAAAAGTTCCTTGTCTTGAAGATGATTTTTTTTTTGACAACAAAAGCAAAAATAAACAAGTGGGACTACATCAAACTACAAAGCTTCTGCAAAGACAAGAAAACCATCAACAAAATGAAAAGGTAACCTACTGAATGGGAGAAAATACTTGCAAACCATATATCTGATAAGGAGCCAATAACCCAAATATATAAAGAAGTCCCAACTCAAAAGCAAAAAACCCAAAACAAACAATCTGTTTCAAAAATGGGCAGAGACCTGAATAGACATTTCTCCAGAGAAGACATACAGATGGCCAATAGGTACATGACAAGGTGCTCAACGTCACTAATGACCAGGGAAATGCAAGTCAGAACACAGTGAGCTATCACCTCACACCTGTTGGAATGGCTGTGATCAAAAAGACAAGAAACAACAAGCATTGGCGAGCACATGGAGAAAAGGGAACCCTCCTACACTGCTGGTGGGAATGGAAATTGGTGTAGCTACTATGAAAAACAGTATGGAGGGTCCTCAAAAAATTAAAAAGAGAACTACCATGTAATCCAGCTATTCCATTTCTGGGTATTAATCTGAAGAAAAAGAAAACACTAATTTAAAAAGATAACTATATTCCTTATACATGCTCACTGAGCATTATTTACAACAGCCAAGATATAGGAACAACCTACATATTCATCAATGAATAAATGGATAAAGAAAATTATCCTAGCTAATAAATGGTAATATGCAAATTAACTGTCACTCTGTCACAAAGATGGTGGTGCTCATAGCCACATGATGGCGGTGCCCAGTCCTCTCAGGCCTGCCGGAGTCCCTCAGTCCTGGGCGGGGGAAGGGAGGTGTGGCTGTTGAGAGCGGGCAGTGTGAGCAGCCTGGAGGAATGCTTGCTTCGTTGCTGCAGCGTTCCACCCCAGCCATGGGCAGCGGGCACAGAGTGGCTGGGGTGGGGAGAGGAAACACTTGCCCCTGGTGATGAGGCAAGCATTCTGCGCCCGGCTGCAGAGGGCCTCTGGCCAGGCCGGGCATGGAACGCTTGCATCTTTGCAGGCTGGGCTGAGGGACACTCCCCCCCCCCACACGAATTTTGTGCACCAGCCCTCTACTATCTATATAATATATATTCACACACATATACATACGATACAAACAATGGAATATTATTCAGCCATAAAAAATAAAATCTTGCCAAAATGGATGAACGTTGAGGGTGTTATGATAAGTGAAATAAGTCAGACAAAAAAACATAAATACTATATAATCTCACTTATATGTGAACTCCATAAAACAACAAAAAACCCCTAAATAAATCCTCAAGCTTATGTACCTAGAGAACAGACTGGTGGTTGTTGAGGGGTCTGGGGGTTTTGGGGGGAGAGTGGAAGAATACATGAAGGGGATCAAAAGGTACAAATTTCCATTTACATAATAAAAAAGTCCCGGGATGTAATATACAGCATGGAGACTATTGCATATTTGAAAGTAGACAGGAAAGTAGAACTTGAAAGTTCTCATCAGGAGAAATGAAATTTGTAATTATGTATGATGATGGATGTTAATTGGACTTATTGTGGTGACCATTTTGCAATATACACAAATATAGAATCATCACACTGTATACTAGAAACTAATGCAAGTTATATCAATTATACTGTCCTAACATCACAGCGCCATGCATCACTCACGTGTTGGCGGTGAGGCGGTGCAAACCAAGCAGCTGCACTGCCCGTTGTATGACAGTACAGCACATACAACTATGCACAGTCCGTAATCCTTGATAATGATAACACACAGCTATATTACTGATCTGTGTATTTGCTATACTTTTTACCATTATTTGTGTATTCTTGTTACTTCTTAAAATTTTTTTCTGTACAATAGTATGTCGTCTTATGTTAGCAATAGCCTCATATGTCTCCTGTTTACCTGCCTCTTTTCTCTTGTGCTTGATTTAATGTCATGTTGTTTTCTACAGTAACATGCTCTGCAGGCTGGTAGCCCAAGAGCAATAGCCTATCCCATACAGCCTGTCCCATACAGCCTGTCCCATACAGCCTGTACCATACAGCCTGTCCCATACAGCCGGTCCCATACAGTCTGTCCCATACAGCCTGTCCCATACAGCCTAGGTGAGTAGGAGCTTAGACCATCTAGGTTTGTGTAACTGCACTCAGTGAGGTTTGATCAAACACAAAATCACCAACCATGCACTTCTCAGAGCAAATTCCAGTTATTAAAGGGATCATGACTGTACTCAAATCCCTCCTCCTCAGGGCCCTGTCCCAGCCCCTCTCCACCACCAGGCTCCTGATCAACACGATGAGGCTGGTGCTCCTCCCACAGGACCGTCCTCCCACCGCCTGGCTTGGCACACTTGTCTTCAGGCTTCACCCAGTCACAGCCTTACATTTTGCTGGCTCCTCAGTCAGCGAGTGACCCTACGGTTGATGTCACTGCACCCCTCCCAGCAAAGAATGGGGTTCACCAACCAGTGGTTACCTTTCTACAGGCCCAGCTGGCCTTGCACACACTTGATCAAGACTTCCTGTATGCCTACTTCAACAGGCAGTGGACAGGGCTTAGTTACCAGACCTGTGAAACGGGAATTATAATGGCACTCCTGCACTGGGTGGCTGTAAGGGTTTAACTGAGTGACTATGTCAACCATTTACGACAGCATCAGGCATGGGTCAAGTGCCATGTGAATGTCTGCTGAGTGAAGACACACAGAACTGCTGCTGCCTCCCATTCCAGACCAGCAGCTGCCTGTGCTGTCACCTCACCCACAAGTTAAGGGGCAGCCCTCCTCTCCCAGTCCCGCAGCCCCATGCCTACCTTGCGTTTCCTCTTGGATTTGGGCAAAGCCTTTTCTACGGGTGTGTCGGATGGGTGGCTTGGAGGTGCGCTCTCAGCGTCCTTGGCTGCAGGCGTGCTGAGGGCCGCGGCCTCCTGGGGCAAGTGTTCTGGGATCCTGGACAGGAGGGTCAGGTCAATTTTGACCCAGAGAGACCTGACCTCGTCACTGTCCTTCAGGGGGGAGAGAAGTTCGTTGCGGCCGAAGGGGACCAGCGTGTAGAACTGCTCCTCCAGCTCCTTGGCGATGTCGCTGGTGGTCCTGGCGTTGATGGAGCCCACGGGTGCGCGGGGTCCGCCGCTGCTGCTGATGCTGCCAGCGGCCTCCTTGAGCCTCTGGTCACTTGCAGAGGCGGCGGCCACGGCCGGCGCTTTGGCCAGAGGGTACTCCTCCTGCTCCGACTCCAGGTCGGAGTCCGAGGAGGAGGACGAAGATGAGGACTCTGTCTCGATGAACTCCTTGGACTTGGGGACGATCCTGCTTAGGCCCCGCGTGCGGCGCTTCTCGCAGGTGACCGAGGCGCGCAGCTCCTTGCGGTGGCTCGTCCTGCTGTTGGCACAGGGCCTGGCTTTGGTGGGCTCCGGAGGGATGGGAGGGATTGCGGCGCTTGCCCCCAGCGCATCCGCGGGCTCCTCCGGCCGCTGGCAGTTAGTGCTCTCGCCGGCAGAGGTCCTCTCCGTGCGCCTGGGGGGCTTCTTGCCCGCAGACCTGCAGGGACTTCTGCTTCACCCCCTTCGTCCCCGGGGCCTTGTTGGCTGTCCTTGGCCTCTGCTCTTCCTTGCAGGCGCTCTTGACGTCCTTCTCCCTCAGGCCGGCCTGGCACCCGTCGGCGAGTTTCCCGCAGTCCTGCGCGGGGTCCTTCCCGGGGGCATAGTACTGACTGCTCTCCAGGCCGTGGCTTTCATTCTGGATCAGAACAGGCGGCTTGTGGGGATTAACTTTGTTTAGCCATTTATCCAGCTGCCACTTGTTAGAGGACGCGGGCTCAGCCTGAAAGCAAAAAACAAAACATCCTTTATTACAGACCCACTCAAAGGCGCCCGGCTGTTTCATCTTCACTTACTCCGCTAGGTGTATGAGCAGAAAGCAGTGGGGCGCGGGGCGGTGGGTGGGGGGAGGAGCAGGGGCACAGCCGCGTGGGGCAGCTCTCAGTCTGCACCTGGATGCAGGGCGGGGTCCCTTTCCTGTCCCAGGTCGCTGAAATGTCAGGGCAGTACTTTGAAGCCAATTAGAAAAAATTTAGGTGCTTCATTAGAAGCCATTTCCAACACCTGTGCCTGTTAGACAATGTGTATCTTTTATAATTACACACACACACACACACACACACACACACACACACATGAGAGTCCCTGAAAGTTAACTGGGGAGCGTCTGGAGGCCAAGTGTTAAAGCGCTCCGTTTCTGTAAGACTTACAATTTTGGGGGACATTAGTATGAGGGGGCTACGTGGAGCCTATAGTCCCAAAGAAGGGACATAGCGTTCATGCGGTGAAGGCAAGCAGGGCAGTTACCAGCAGAGGGAGCAGCTTGGGGCAGATGGCCTGGCTAGGGGTGCAGAACTCCCACTGAGCAGCCACCGGTGTCCCGTGAGCTCTGGCAGCAGGACTTGGTTAATCCACCCCTAACCTGCTCCCACCCACTTTGCCAGAAATGTTTCAGACATGAAAGTGACCATGGGAAGTCTTTCCTGGAAGCGATTAGTTTAGAGCAGGGGTTCCTCAAACTTTTTAAACAGGGGGCCAGTTCACTGTCCCTCAGACCGTTGGGGGGCCAGACTATAGTTTAAAAAAAAACTATGAACAAATTCCTATGCACACTGCACATATCTTATTTTGAAGTAAAAAAACAAAACGGGAACAAATACAATATTTGTATTTGCATGTGGCCCGCAG